GATGCAGAGACTGCTGTCGCCCACATACGAACATCTTTATTCATGGACGGCCAGACGTATCGTGCAGCGATGAGGCGTAATGTAGCTGCGATACCTGGGTGAGATAATCCATGCAGGGCATCGAAAACGAGACGGCGATAAGCAGAGGGTACGATGGGTCGAGGAAGACCGGTAGAAGTATCACATAGAATGGTGCCAGAAGTCGTGGCTAGAGGTACTTCCTGATACTGAAGGGACGTAGAGTGTGGTGCTTTTGTACAGCTGGGATCGTTTGCTTGGGCAGCGGCCATAGCAGGAAGATCGAGCACCGGCAGGGTAACTGCATTCATTTGGATTCGTGATAGAGCATCGGCAACACAGTTCGACTTGCCTTGGATGTGACGAAGGTCTGTCGTGAACTGGGAGATATAGTCCAAATGTCTGCACTCTCGTGGTGAGTAGCGGTCAGACTTGGTATGCAAAGCATACGTTAAGGGCTTATGGTCGGTGAATAAAATGAATCGACGTCCTTCTACTGCGTGCCGAAAATGTTTGATGGCGCAGTAGGCTGCTAGCAGCTCGCGACCAAAAGCGCTATATCTCGTCTCCGTGGTAGTAAGGCGTCGTGAGAAAAACTCGAGAGGTTGCCAACTACCGGAGATGTTTTGTTGCATGACTGCTCCTATAGCAACATCGGATGCATCAACCGCTATACTAAGCGTGGCTGATGGATCGGGATGGGCGAGAAGAGTGGCTTGCGCAAGAGCCGTTTTGATTTCAGTGAATGCAGTACGTGCAGAATCGTTCATTTCCAATCTGCGTGGGTTGCCGCGTAGTAAGTCGGTTAGTGGTCGTAACCGTTCTGCCGCGTGTGGGATGAAACGACGGTAGAAGTTAACCAAACCGAGAAAAGCCTTCAGTTCCTTGAGTGAGGACGGCACGTTGTACTCCTTTATTGCTTGCACTTTGTCCTCACAAGGTAGAATACCCTCTTGCTTGATAACATGACCCAGAAATATGATTTCTCGTTTACCTAACTCGCATTTGTCTGGGTTAACTACTATTCCATTATCCGAAAGGCGTTGGAATAATAGCGTAAGATGTTGATAATGTTCATCTACGTTTGATGATGCGATTAGCAGGTCATCAATATAGACGTGAACAAAATCGAGGTCTCGTACAATGCTATCGATAAACCTTTGAAAAGTTTGAGCAGCATTCCGTAATCCAAATGGCATTCGTAGGAACTCAAACAAACCGAAAGGAGTCGTGATAGCAGTCTTTTCGATGTCTTCAAGAGCGACTGGGATCTGATGATATGCTCGTACCAGATCGATCTTAGAAAAGATAGTCGTGCCCTTGAGCGATGCCGTGATGTCGTGTATGTGGGGGATGGGGTAGCTATCAAAGCGCGTAACTACGTTTAGAGCTCGGTAGTCGCCGCATGGTCTCCAACTAACCCCATCTTTTTTGCGCACCATGTGTAGAGGAGAGGCCCATGGACTGTGAGAAGGACGAATAATACCAGTAGCTAGTAAATTGTCAAACTCACGCTTAGCAAAAGCTAATTTGTCCGGTGCCAGTCGGCGAGGTCGTGCCGTGACTGGCGGTCCGCGGGTGACTATGTGGTGTACCACACGATTGGTCACCGATGGAAGCTCCTCGAGTGGTTTAGTGATTACGGGGAATTTCTCGAATAAAGCGTGGAATTTATCGTCACGCGAATAAAAAGTGCCCAGGATTCGGTACGCGTTCATGTGGGCTTTACAGCCCATGAATTTGCTGTTCGACGAAGTATCGATTAGCTGCAGCCTACGTGAATCGACAAGCAATTCATAGTGCTGTAGAAAATCGATACCTAGTATGGCTGTGGGAACATCAGCAATGATGAACGTCCACAGATACCGTCGTCGGTTGCCCAGGTTGACCGCGAGTTGTCGTGTACCGTAGGTAGGAATGACTGAGCCATTCGCAGCGCGTAGTCGAAGCACTGTGGCTTGTGACTTGCTGCTACCTCGTGGTACGACAGAAACTTGGGCCCCAGTGTCTACTAGGAACCTAGCGTTCGTGCGGTAATCGTGCACATAGAATAGGCGACCAACCTGGGGTAAAGGGCCGGCGAGTACGGCCGCTTTTACTCGCCGGCGCTGGCGTTTCCCGCCTTGTATGAGCATGGTGCTCGACAACGGCGGGCGCCAGACCCGAAGGACCTATGGAACCAGCACCAACTGTCACTCGCTTCCGTAGCCGCCTTTCGGCGTGGCCTGGAAGATGCCCTTTTTGGGCGAGTGGTGACGGGTTTGCGAGAACTTGAGCGAGCTCGGGGGACGTAGGGTTGGGGTACGTTACAACGGTCTCGAAAACTAAGACGTGTGTGAATACACCCGGCCCTGTCACCATGAGCTGAGGAATGACCGGCGTCCATGTCTACTTTAGGACGTGCCGTCGAAGCAACTACATAGGTGTCTCTATTACTAGTCCTCGCCAAAATTTTGTCTGCTATGAGGACTACCTGGTTAAGCGGTGAGTCCTCGAGCAGTGCCGTCACAGTAGGTTGGATATGAGCTGGTAGTGACTCGAGCCATAATTCCTTAACTATCTCCGAGTCAGATGCTGTTGGTCCTGCAAGAGATTGCAGGCGCGTGAGGTGATGGCTTGGTTTAGCATCACCCAGGGGGTGACGTGCTAACAGGGTCCTCAATCGTTCCTCCCTCGATGGGAGGAAATGTCGGAGAATTGCCTCCTTGAGGCGGTCATAAACATTAGGCACGTTAGAATTGAGGACAACCTCACGAACAGCTACTAAATGGTCCCCGGGTAATGATTCGAGAGCGTAGGCGTACTTTTGCCTTTGGCTCGTGATGCGACGAGTCTCGAACTGAGACTCTAATGCAGCAAACCAAACCTCTGGGTCGTGGGGGATAAATGATACAGGTCGAAAGTGAATGGCCTGTACGTCTGAGTCTATAACATTAATAGAATTCTTGTCGCTATCCGTCATGTCGTGTATATTATATATTAAAAATTAATATGAAAATATACGACAGACGTGGATAGATAAACTATAGACTCACCAAATTGGCTTCTTTGGAAGATTTGACCCGAGGTTGAGGCGTGTTCCAAACTTTGGGATCACCAATTGTAGCGTGGCGTCGAGTTGAGATTAACTATGAACACCGCTACCAAGAAACACGTGCCAGATAAATCAGAAGGCGAAGATCGAACGTAACCAGATTTATTTCGTTGGCGATCTCGTGGTATTGAACGAATACCGAGATCGTGCCAAGAAATGGTACAAGTGGAAGCAGAAGACAGGAGTACGTGCGAACAGTACCAAAAACCGCGGAACAATGATGGAAGGTAATGGAAGCACAAAATGGCTATAATTAGCACAGTTAAACAAAAGCACATTAAAACAAACACTGGTACAGTTGGTTATAATAATAATTGTTTTTATTAAACCAGTCGTGTTCTCGTGATAAATGTGAGTCACTACATATTTTTCCAAATTATCGTACGTTGTGATCAGGATACTCACTTATTTATTCATGTACATTTTTGCACTAATCCGAATTCAGAGAATTCAGAATTCAGTGTTCCAACTGTCTTGTCTTCTCTCACTTGCGTGCTTGTCAACCAATCAGGCTCTAGAATAGTTCTCTCTCTACCCCATCTCGAACTCACACCTACTGAACTCAAGGTTAAGCCGCCCAGCCTATCGCATCAAGGTCAAGTCATAACAAAGTATCGACGGGGCAAAAGCGATTCAAGGTCATAACAATATGACTATCAAATTCTTGGCTGAAATGTGGCTTTCGTCATATCAGACACGAAGTGGAAAGAAGAAATACATTAACAGTCACATTAAGTTGTAACAACACACAGTACCGAATTGGCTGAGGTGACAGAACCTTGCTGCCTTAATGAGAGCAGGACGGATTACATGATCGGAGGAATATACTGACTCCCAAAGGTTCTAACACCGCAAAAGATGAGACAATTCTGGGTATATTAAACCTGTCACACCTGGTATCTGACCGAATACTACTAACCGAAGATTCCCATACTCCATGCCCGAAACTTAACAAACAGGATACACCTCTACAAGGTGGTCTCATAAGCAGCTTACCACAACCATTAAAAGTTCAGGAATGATTGAACATGTGGGTGGCGCCATGACATGAAGCAGAAATGGAAAATCCCCACGAGCATATTATCAGAACACCAACTTCACTCTCCTCAATGCAACCCGAAAAATTGAGTATCAAAAAGCAAATACTCAATTACGACCTCAATTGTTCCCACTTAAGGTTACCCTCCTTTTAAATGCCTTCTCAGCTGAAGTGACCACAGCCCCATTAGTAGGCAGCTTCAAGAGGAGACTTGACAAACACTTACTTACCCTTAAATTACCATCACCCTATTGAACCACTTTTACCTGATGTACGTCTCACAAATTAGTACGGTTATCATATGCTTATACCTATTAGCAACTAATAGACTTATTTATCATTCTTGAAACTGTCGTCTTCTCTTAGAACTGAAATAATCACTTTATTACTTTCACATTGTAGTCAAGCAACCTCTAACCTGGCGACGTGATGACTATTGGTACTCAGAAACTTCACTATTCTGAGACAATCGTACTCGACCACACTACGAGATATTCAGATACACAAATAACTATCGAACTGACTAGAATTAGTGCAGTCGAGTAACAAAACTACCAACTATTTAAACCTAATCAAATATCTGGAGCCGTACCGAAACGACGAGAAGCAAGAGTCAAGAACTTAATCGGTTTATGTTAACCCGTGACGAAGACATTGAAGATACAATCTACTTTTACTCTAGCTAATCCCTTAAGAAAGTCATACAAAATCTCCAATGGAGATAGAAAGGTTGCGAATTTTCAGAAACCTGCAAAGATGGTTCAAGAAGTTTCTTGTTGGTCGCTGATAAAAAGTCGAAAGTTTAAAATAATATTTAGTTACGTCAGAGATGAGTAATTTTGCTATGACCTTCAGGTCACTGGGAAGCAATATTTAGAAATTTGGCTCATGCTGAGTTTCGGTCTTTTCGTTTCCCACTGTTCAGAAAATTCTAAGGTATTTAAAAGTTAGCAAGTTGATCGAAATATTTTAAAAAGTTTACTCCATGTATATGTGAGGAGGAATTAGTACTTAGTAGCATTTTCATCAAGTAAAATTACGAATATTCATTAATGCTTTCAGTGTAAATTTTTCGGGGAAAGTTAACAATGTTGTTTAACTGTCACTCATATGTAACTGTTGTTGAAAACTGTTCATGCAAAAAATTTCGATGAATTTTCCTTAAATAAACCACTATTTTGACTTGTCGAGTGCTCAAATAATATGGTTGCTCTGAGGTACTAAAGTCGAATTTCCTAAGTATATGGGTGGTAGTGAACTAGTCCATTAAGTTTTGCGAAAAGCTGGCTATTTAATGCGTTAATATTTGGGGAAGGTTAACAGTTTAATGTTAACACTGAAGAGAAGTATATAGTTTGATATTAATTTTGCGTAGTATACAAATTGCATTTATTTCTCAGGTTTCTATTTACTTTGGTTTAAATACGTTTGAGCAATTGCTTGAGGATTACTTAGCCAAAAACAGATTTGATTTCGATCTTACTTTTCATTGGGAGGAGTTCTGGCTCCTTCGAATGCACATACATACATTTATTTGTCATTATTCTATTTTCTCTCGCGTGCTTCCTATGTTCGCCATCCTACTAAGGCTCACTAAAATCATATTACACTTAAAAAGTTTTTTAGTTACGTTTCTGCAGCTTGTCTCAGTAGTCCGGTCTCACTCAACTACCTTCCAACATTTTGACTTCTAAATACCTATCTCATTAGCTATCAGACTATGTAGTTAAATTACTCATTAAGCTCCATTGAGTGCCTTGACTGTTCTACAACGTCAAGGTGCGACTGTTGACTTATAGTAACTTGTCAGAAAAACATTAGATCACACCAAAGATGACCCAAATTGTCATAAACATCTCTGGAATTCGGTATACGTAAATTGATCTCATCACCCAAGTCACCACCGGCACTTACCTACTCGTATGCACACACTTCTCACCTGCTTCAAAATGGTCATTATGAAGAGAGTACAATCGTTTAATCGGTCCTACTTAACCCTGGTGCTTGAATAAAGCAATGGAGAGAGGTAGATGTATGCTCTCACTCCCTGAAGTATTTGTATATAGGATTTTCAAGATGTTAATAAACTCAGGGATACCTCTTGAATAGACGATTCTGAAGTACATCTCTGTACAACAGAATAAAGGTGGTTCTGATGTCAAGAAACGCAACGGTTGTTGGCCTGGAATAAGTATGGTGACTCCCTAATATTCGGTGAGGGTGAAAATATGATCAATACATATACGTTCAGAACGAGAACCAACCTGCTCTTCGCGAGTCAACCTTTCCTAAGCGAAGTATGGCGGAAGCCATAAATTTGGGCGCAGTCTGAAGTAGAATCATCCCTCAATAGTTGTTACATGGGTGGCGCAAACTTTTCTAAAGATAGAGACAGCTATTGGCTCATTCCAGGGTGTCGGATCACTTTAATTCTTAAACCTTTGCAGACTACTCAGCCAGTTTAATAACCAGAAGGTCACTATCATCCTTTATTTATTTACGTGAACACAAATATTGATACGAAGGGGCAATGAATACATATGCGCCACACAAGTCACTTAATTTGTGTGTGGGCCGTAATACTGCCTGGGTGCTCAGACCGAGACCGATGGTTTTACTAGGGGGCCACACCCAGAACCCTCGACCTAAAGGTATGATCCACAAGGCAGTGGAGCAACGTCAGATACAGTCCCATGGTAGCCGGTGACCAACAATTGGTTCGTACTCCATTTGTTCCCTCAGGATCCTGTAGCCTATGTTCACTATCGGTTTGAAATCAGGGTTTTTTAAACTCCCTTAGGTGGATCCTCCATATTCATCAAACCGGTCAAAGCGCCGGACATTCGCTTTTCATCCTTTCAGTTTCGTATACAACACTCCCGTGAGTACGATTTCTGTGGAAGTGGTTGTATGCACGTGACCATGTGAGGGCATTTCGAGAGGGAGAACAAACTCTCCCCACCGTTGGCCGTACCAGGCATTAGGAGGCTCCGCCATCCTCAATATTACCCTTATTTTGTGAGGTGTTTTTGGTCCCTTATTATGATTAGATTTGTGTTTAAATAAATAAATATGTTAGCAATAGATGAACATAAATCGGCAAATAGTCTAGTCTTGTGTAAAATAGCTTGAGCCTACTTATCTTTTGGCCATGATTTTCAAAAGGGTGTTTGAAGGACCAAGTAGCTTTGGAAGTTATTAGTCCAATTTTTTTCGCATGAACGCATCCTTTTCTCATTTAATCAGGTTACAAATACACTTATTTGATGTCTATATCTTATCGTTACATTTCTCTGTAAAATTTATACAGGTCAGAGATCTGAATGCAGTCGAACTTCAAGATGTTTTAAACACTAATATTTCTTCAACGTTTTACCACACTATCGAAACAAGCTATTGGAAAGCTGCACGACTTTCCAAGGGATGGATTTCAATATTTAGTTCATTTTTTGCATTTAATGATCCATTTGCAAAAATGTACATCAATTTCTAATTCAATCTAATACAGGATGCAACATCCTTTTCTGCTCCGGTCAAATACGCTCATCAAGCGATATAACTCTTGCAAAACACTTTGACTCTGAGAATATCAGTATTGGCCAGGTTCTGTTAGATGCATTTTCTAAGGAAAAGAACGTAAATGCTGTTGTTAATTTAATCAATTCTTTGATTGGTTCTTTTGTACTTATATTTGTTAGCGTAAGTTATAGTCAATACTTACGATTTAAGAACGTTTAGGTCGAATCACACAGGGTTTATTTCACTCGAGATCCATTCGGTCGTCATTCTCTTGTTGCCAGAAAGTTTTCAGGACTACCTAATGAATTATTTTGTATCGATTCAGTTTCAAGTATTGTTATTCCAAGCCAGTCTTCTTTTCCGGAAATTAGTTTGGATTCCCTTGTAAGCTAATTTATTTATGTAACTGCTCAACAGTGAACTTTGCTACTTTTATGTTCTGTTTTCACCATTATCGTGTCTTCAATGTTTGTATTCATTTTTGAGTTTATTATTTTCCGTTCAATTTCCTAAAATAATAGATACTTTAAGTCTAAATCTTCAAATGTTCATCCAGCTTATTAACTGAAAGCGTGGTAAAAAACCTCACATATTTTTGTTTAAAAGTTCCCTAAGTTGCCTTAGAGCATTTAAATGAATGTATGGAAAAAGTGATGACATAATTTTAAACGAAGCCAGCTTAGAAATGTTACAAAATGGCAGGTAGAATCGATTTTCTCACATCCTAATCAGTCCGGATTCGTTTTTTATGAACTTCGCAAGACGATCTTTTTTTGGATCGCCATAAGCTGGATAAATAGACTTGCTTCTGATTTAGTTGATCAGCAATTACATATATTGGTCAACAGCTTTATTTCATTGTCCTTCAATGGATGAAATCTGCATTTAAGTATCCATGTGTGTTCAGATACCAGATTGTTTACTACCCTTTCTTTTTTGTCATGTGGTTATTTTTTTATTTTGCGATAAATGATAACTAATTCATACTTTTCAATCAGTTGAAATAATTTTTATTTAGGAAAAAGATGCAAAGGATTGGTTTGAAATACCTGCTTGTGGAATATTTGTATCGAAAATCGTCTGTGACAATGGGAATGTTTTTCTCTCAGATATTAATCTATATCCTTGGTCTGAACAGCATTTACTTCTGTGCCCTTCAAATATCTCATTTAAAGTTAATAGAGTTTTGAATGTAAATCAAACTCATTGTAATAGCCTTTCTACAAATATGTGTATACCCACAACTTTAAAAGAAGTACAACAGAAGTTTTTGGATTTATTATCTGCTGTTATACACGATTCAGTTAACTTTGACTTGTTATATGATACAAATTACTCTTTCAATGTATCTGATGTATTGGGTGATAATCGGTCAGGTTCTTTATTCGGTTTACTGTTTAGTGGCGGTCTAGACTCATCTGTTATCGCAGCATTACTTGACAGGTCTGTCAGTTACACATCACTTTTTCATGTGGTATGTTTTTTTCTCCCTAAATGGGAATTCATTTTCAAATTTGAAAAATTGCTAGTATTTGTTGCCACGATATTCCTTCTAGTTTACATAAAGTGAAATAATTAGGATATATTAGTGTAAAAAATTAAATAACTAAACAGCTACATCATATAAGAACCTGAAACTGTTAGTGTTACTCCACTCAGTCATTCCTAATTCAATTGGCGCAACAGGATATTGTTTACATTTTCGCTCACAAATCCGTCGACGTTGAGTGAATTTCACAAGGTTTTAGGTTGTAAACATATTAAGCAAACTTATATTCAACTTCTTCAACTATCGAATTAAAGGCTTGAACCCTGCTTTACTGAATTCGGATTCGTTAACTGGATAGTATCACTATTCCTCATATAATAGTGTGACCCAGAGCTAATTATAAAAACTTATACTTGGTTATTAAATCTGTAGATAATTTGTGTGCAAAGTCATTGTGATTCATAAATTTTGAGAGTAATTTATTTATTTATTATTTATTTATTTGAACACATAAATATTGGTACAAGAGAGCGCCAATATATATGCGCCACACAAAACAATGAAAATTCGAAGAGAAATAGAAAGAGAAAAAAAAACTAGGGAACGCAAAAGAAAAAGAGAACAATGACGAAGAGATTGGAGTAAGGTAGTGTGGTAGTAACGACGGAACGAAAAGGTACAATCAGAAGAAATCTTTCAGGTAAAGGAGACACAACCACTTTTTAGGAAGAAAGTAAAAGAAGGTTACAGCAGGATCGCCACTGGCTTCTATTCTGAGCCATATCTGATAACGTCTCTAGCCACTGTGTAGCACCATCTCTCGGACCCCAACCAGGGAGTCGTGAAGGACCAACACAAGCCAGTCCTTTGCAGCTTTCTTTCATGCCACGACACCATGTCATGCACTGACCACCTCTCCGCCTCTTCCAACCAGTCCCAGAGTCGGCAAATAATGCACGACGTGGAATTCTCTGGGACGACATTCGGAGAACATGTCCAAGCCACCGAAGTCGGTGTTTCAAGATGGTGACACCAATTGAGTTATCATCTCTGTGCCCGAACACACGATGCCGAACCTCTGCATTACTGACATGGTGTTGCCACTGAATGTCAGCAATCCTTCGGAGACAGCGATGATCGAACACAGAGAGTCGTCTAACGTCCTCAACTCGGAGAGGCCAGGTTTCACAAGCATAGAGCAAAACTGCTCTCACCGACGCGTTGTAGATCCGACCTTTTACAGCCAGACTAACATCACGAAGGCGCCAAAGGTGGCCCAGATTGGCATAAGCCGCTCTGGCTTTCACTATTCGTGCATTGATCTCATCACTCACACCCCCACCAGCACTTATGCAGCTACCCAGATACACGAACTTCTCGACTACGTCTATCTGCTCACCGTCCAGGGTGAGTACAGGATTAGAATCCTGCCAGTCTTGTAGAAGTACTTTGCACTTCGAAGGTGCAAAGCACATACCATACCTACGGACACTGATTGCCAACTGATTAAGTGCGGATTGCATGCCTTGGGCATTATCGCACAGTAAGACAATATCGTCCGCATACTCAAGGTCGAGAAGTCTTTCTCCAGGCAACAGATCCACACCACCATTACTTACATTCATCAGAGCTGTTTCCAGAATGTCATCGATGGCAAAGTTGAAGAGGAATGGTGAGATTGGGCAACCCTGCCTAACCCCACTGCTCGAATGGAACAATGGAGAGAGGTGGTTGTATGCCCTCACTCTGCCTGAGGTGTTTTTATATAGGGCTTTTAGGATGTTAATAAACTTCTCAGGCACACCCTTCTTCAATAGACAATCCCAGAGAACAGTCCTGTCCAACGAATCGAAGGCAGCCCTGATGTCAAGAAACACTACGATTGTTGGCCTTTGAAAAGTATGGCGGTGTTCTAACATTTGGCGGAGGGTGAAGATATGATCAATACATCCTCGACCAGAACGAAACCCAGCCTGCTCCTCGCGAGTCAATCTTTCTCGGGTTTTGAACAACCTACGAAGAATGACGGAAGCCAATAGCTTGGACGCAATCGGAAGTAAACTTATCCCCCGATAGTTGTTACAAGAACGACGTGAACCCTTTTTAAAGATAGGGACAACTATCGACTCATTCCATGACGTTGGTACACACTCTAGTTCCCAAACCTTTGTAAACAACGTCGTCAATTCCTTAGTCAAAAAGTCACCACCATCTTTAAAAAGAGCCGGAGGTAAGTCATCTGGGCCAGGTGATTTGTAACGCTTCAAGAGTTGGAGTTCCTTGCGGACTTCCTCCTCATTTGGTGGATCAGTCGTCACCGGCCATGGAGGGCAGGACAGTCTGACCGATGTTGCCGGAGCAGCAGGCCAGTTGAACTGCCCTTCGAAAAATTCTGCCCATCGTCCAAGACGTCGATGGATGTTAGTGATTGGCATCCCATCATCCTCGCAGATTGTTTCACTCACACCAGACTTCTTGCTGCCAGTGGCTCGGATGAGCTGGAAGAGCTTCCGGTAGTTACCAGATGCAGCTGCTGCTTCCAGCTCATTAGCACGCATCGACCACCAGGCTTCTCGGTCCTTACGCAAGCTTTGCCCAATTTCCTTACGTAACATCCTTCGTTTATGGTCAAACTCACGGTCACCCGGAGTAGACCGACGGGCTTCAATGAGTTGTAAGGAACCAGAAGAAACCCAGTGCTTAAAGGCGGGACGTTTCGCAAACCCACAACTGACTGTTCCCGCCATTTTCATGGCGTCATGCAATTGCAACCAATGCTCATCTATACTTTTCGGTGGAGTGGTAGCTAGCCTAGAGGCTAGCTCGGTTCGATACTTACTTGCAACAGAAGTTGCAACCAGCTTGCTAACATCAATCCGTTGATGGCGTTCACTTCGTTGTCCACTGAAAAGTAAGGCAAGATTGGCGCAGACCAAGGCATGGTCAGAGTCCAGATAGGTACTCCAAAAGGAGCGGCAGTCTTTTACACAACCACGCCAGCGGTAGCTGATCGCGATGTGATCAATCTGAGTCCAGGCTTGAGATGCAGAGGGAGGACGCCAGGTGGCACATCGGCGATGACTGTGCCGAAAGTTAGTGCTAGCCAGAAACAGGTTGTGGTCTGTGCAAAGTTGCAGTAGACGGTCCCCGTTATCTGACCTGCGACCAACGAGTCCCCATCGGCCACCTAAACGACTCTCTTCTGTGCCTAGACGCCCGACCTGAGCATTCAAGTCTCCGGCTAGTACTACAATATCTGTCGAACGCACTTTCTGGAGAAGAACTGATAACTGGTGGTAAAACTCATCCTTGATTGCATCCGGGCTGCAATCTGTCGGGGCATAGGCGGAGATGACGAAAAGACATCGTTTCTCACGCCGATTTCTTCTCACTTTGATGGAACTTTCTAATCTAACAGCACATAACCGACTGTTAATGGGGATCCAATCGACTAGTGCTGCCTCAGCTCTAGCGCTTAGTGCGACACTAACGCCAGCAAGATGTCACTGATTAATAAAGATATTACTGGGTTGTATAGGTATTATCCCAAGTTTTGTTGTTAATTTTTCATTTAATGAAAGTGATATGAAGACAAACCAGCGTAAGAAATTTTTCTTTTGACGATCTCATCTACTGAAGCCTTACGATAATATGTTTGGCGATCTAATAAATATATTAATCTATTGGAAAATAGATTATCTTATTTTGTGGGAAAATTGACCTACCACAAAAATGGTTTAAAGGTCAAAGGACAGTAGTAGAATTTAAAAAATTTACGCGTCAGGAAGAAATATGTGTGATGGTTGTTCACTTGACAAGTGTGAGAAAGAAATAAAGTGCGTGGTGATAATAGCGGCTGAATAGTGGTTACAAAAATTTGCGAGAACTATGAGAACTAACTAATTTGTAAAACAAAATAAGAGAAAAAGATGGAAGAAATGCTAGGGGTGTAGTAAAATAAGAGATTACACTTGATTGTTTTGGACAGAGATTTTGTAAAGCCTCTAGGTTGGGCACATTTTTAGTTCGTACTCCCTTAGAGCTTATTCACTTGACTATGTAAATAATTTTGAAATGTAATTCTAGTGGAACGTGATCACAATTTGTTAAGTGATGAGAGATGTAGTCATACAGTTTCAGGAAATGATGTCGTCAGGAAGAAGTTTCCTTCACTGAATTATCTCTATCTCAAATTTTTAATTTTACTACTGATTTACTTGTTTAATGATGCTGAGTTCTTACAAAACGTAACATCCTAAAATCATCTTAATGTACTAGTATTTGGACTCTTGATTGTTTTGGAAATATAGCCTTCTCAACGTATCATTAATGCAACGAAATCTTAATTAAATATACTAATACTAGCAGGCTATGTTGTGGTGTTAATTCTAACGCAAACAGTTGAAAATACACTTTATTTTACTATGAAGTAAGATACGGTAACTTGAACCTATATACACATGTCTTAAGCTCTACGTTGTATATTACTGACTAACTGAAGATACAGACTTCGAATTCTGGAAATGCTTGTGGTTATATTCCCGATATGCTCCTTCTGAATTTAAACTGTAAATCGTGTACAGGCTACCTATAGTTACCTATTTAGACTATTAGTTTCCTTCTTTCATTTCTTTACTGCACTGATATAGATATTGAGTAAACTCAGATCTTTGATAACGAAAAGACACACCATTTACTCGTCAATTAATTTCAGTGATCATTTTGCAAAGCCTTACGCTCGATGAAATCAGACTTTAACTTTCACAAACACGTAAGTGTTTTATCTGTACCACGGGCTTATTAATTTATGCTATCGAATTTAGCAACTTGTTGTTAGTCATTATAGATAATTATTTGGGCATCTGAAACTTTTTATGACTAATTATTTGGTTATCATGTTTCAGCGTATTAGGTTATTTTCTGCAAACAAGTGTACTCTGCATGTTGTTATTCCCCTGTAGATTTGTTCCTGATGACCAGTCCATCGATCTGATTAATGTCGCTTTCCAAAGGAGATGTACTGGTGTTTCTGTTAACAATAGGTCAGTTAATTTTCATGATGCATTCTTCCCAGTTTCATCTTCCCGACTTTGTTCAATTAGTTAGAGATGGTTTGCATCGCCAATCCATATCGCTTCATCAAAGGTTAATAAATCAATTTTGCGTAATCTTCAAGCAGTATGCTTTTACACTTAACTTGGTATCAGGCTGACATTTTGCTTTAAGCTAATTAATATATATAAACTCTGCTTTGGTGTGCTGTTGTGTCGAGATAGTCTTCTGGCAATCGAAAGGAGATAATATCACTGTCACAATGTGCCGATGAATATGCTGTGGCATTACATTGGCGATCTAGAAAGTATCATGATCTAGAAGAAAGGGATTCAGTAACTTGGTCAAATTTTACGCATATCGCTACTGTGGCTTTTATACCACACATCACCAGTCGTTTCTGGAATTGATTGGAAAGAGTGAGGGTGGTCAGTTTAGAATATGGTGCTGTGAAACAGACAGTAACTGTGTTGGGTTAACAACGGTTGGCTAGTCGTAACTCCATTAATGGTGTCCTAGATATATAACTTAGTTGTTTAATATGTTATCATACATAGCTTAAAATAAAAGACAATGAAGATCCTCTCCCAGTTTTTGTTATGTTTTTCCTAAGTAAGAAGATGGTAAATAAAACGTATCTTAACTGCATTCCTGTTTGAATTTCATCCTTCAAAAATTTTCATTATTTTTCTTATTATCACTTAACTACTACCAGATCAACAGACTGTCACAAAACGAGTTTCACTTGTTGGCATTATAAACAACTGATATTAATGGGTTTTTTAATTAGTTCAGTCCATACAATGTAGTATGGAATGAAAATTCCTATACCAAATCAAGACAGGATCATTGAAGGTATATTCTTGTAAGTACTTAGAAACTTAAAAGTCTACTAAGAACTAGGTACAATAGTATACAATTCTGTGCGGAATTTAATGTATCTTAGTTGTACTTCGCATTGACTTTGTTCAGTGTGATATTTTTGTTCTTGTTATCAGTATATCATTTCGTTTCATTTGACGGATTCCTCTAAGCCTAACTGTACTAAGCTGTCTTCTGTGTTCAGAATAAATCAATGGATATAACACATGATAAAATGTGTTTCACCTTTTTGTAACAAATATTTGGCATTTGAGTTATTTAAAACATTGTCAAATAAGCTAGTTCCTATAGGTCTAATATTTGGGACACATCATTCGTTTTCCTAAGATTCTGAAATAACTATTCTTCATTTATCTAGGAAGGAAGGCTTCCAGCGCCTAAATAAACACTGTGGATAATCATTTTCGTTTTAATAACCGATATTTAAGTGGTTTCATATAAGAATTCAGAGTGAATTTTTGAAAAGCAAAGTAGAAAAATGTCTTTCCTTTGAAAACAGCAGTTCAACAGAACTTCGTGGTTTGCAGTTACTATTCGAATGATGTAATTTTGTGGTCCAATTTGTTTCCTCAACTAATGAGTAGTTTTCATATACGTACGTTGTAAAGCTTTTAGCTTCCACTTCAGTCTCATTTTTTCACCTTTCTTTATCATCAGTGATTGCTTGGACAAAGACTGTCTAATTTCCGCCGAAGAGGCCCCTGACAGACAAACTGCCCTGAAAAGTTATGAAGAGTTGTGCAAATTATCTGCCCGACGTAAATGGAATTTGATAAAAGTAAGTCTGTGTAACCATGTTTGGCCAATTGATTGTGATACGTCATTTTCTTGTCTGTAATTTTCGTTTTTATCTTATACTACTCGCTATTGGTAAGTAGCTCGAGTATTTTTAGTTATTTCTGTCTTTCGTACAAGAACTACGGCTGACGGGCAGTTGGGACGACCTTGGTATCGCGTTTGTGTATTCTTCTATTTTGAATTTAGGATCCATCAGCTCCTGTTTATAGTGGAAATCTTCTTTATCTGTTCATTACAATCTACATTCTAATCTACAGTAATCTTATTTGACTTACCGATTCTCAAAAAGAGTGGACAATTCGTTTTTGATTGAATGTTCACACCTTACTGAAGATGCTTCTGTTTTATAGCCTACAGGTCAATTTTATATCTTATGACATCCTTTTATGTATAAATAATATTTGGATATCGAGAAATCCCGTTTATAAGTTTTTATTATGGACCATTATTGAAGGAAAATATGATTCTTCGGATGTTGAGGCCTTGATTAAATAATTTTTATTTTATTTTTACATATCGTGAGCAATTATTTTAACTCTAAAAGTTCTTATCAATTCAAAAGTTAGAAACTGATAACTATTTTTAAAGTATCTACTGGGTTTTTATTTGTTTCCATCAATAAAGATAACTCAACATTCAGCATAGCATGTAAGTAATATTGCTGTGCATAGTTAATTGATCAGTTAAAAAAAATGTATTTAGTGTATACAATTTAACAGTTGTCACTGTTTACCCTGTTCTCCTCTCTTGATATCACTTGTACAAAGTTAAACATTAAACGTCATTCCGTATGTTGAATTTTATTTAAAACTATACCGAATTAGAGATGACAAGATTCTCTAGTGTACAAACATGAGATATGGTTCATAATTGAAATCATCTCTGAGTGTTTCTTCCTATACTACTTGAATAAATATATATAACTGAGACGTAATAAGTTTCTTAATTGTTTTTTCTCTTCAATTGTGATTATTTCACTCTTTCTGATCATTTATACGCACCTACATTTTTTTCACTCTTTTGTAATATTGTTGTTGTTACCTTTCATGTTCATATTGTATGAAATTCATGTTTTCATTATATAATAATCATAATCTGGTGTATATAAGAATCGATATAGATGTGGTAACGTGTTACAATAGTTTTATCTGCTTTTCGATTAATAATAATGGCAAGAACTGGAAATTTGGTTCAGTAGTATTTACTTTCGAGCTTGAGCATACAACTAAATGAGGTATAGCAAATTAAAAGTAATATAAGAAAGCTTTTTCGTAATATGATAATAACAAAGTTAAAAATTAATCCATTTATGTTGTGCTTATCGAATTTTAATGTCTTGGCATGAATTCTTTTACCTCTGGTTCCTGATATCTCACGAACAACAAATAAAATATCTTTCAACTCTCATACTTTTTAGACAACTGATTTAAAATGTTATACGTTGATATTACACTTTGGTTTGAACGCTTTAGAGAGCATGATGAATGAATGTTTAAAGACTATATACTTATATGCAATCTCTTATATATATGACTACCATTGAAGTAACTACTTTATGATTTTGGTGTTCATCCTGTTGTGCTAATGATGTATGGCAACTTGGACCGATGAATATATGTGCCTGGTTCTACGTTGTAACTGACTGACTGACTGACCCCTGTTAGGTCCCGATAAACATAATGAATGGTAACTTCGGGATCCTTTTATGGACCAATACCGAACGTATATTTTTTCGTATAATTGTTAAATAACTAGACTATTCATATTCATATTCCTCTTATTATAAACTTTATTTTGACCTATGAACCATTATTATACGTTTTACCATTCTTGAATTATGCCCTGTCTATCAGACACTGCCCCCCACATTCAGAGCCACATTTGGCCAAATTTTGTACAAATGTTATTTTCTATTTTATGCTACGTTGTGGTCTGTTTGATTAGTATATAAACTCAGTATGTTTGGAATATAAGGATTCATATTGCAGAGGCTGAGACTGTTGTTCTGAACTTAACTGGCTGGGCTAGGTGGAAAGCAGGACCAATCAAGACTCTAGGCTGCTCGCTCATGTTTTACGCGTCCTTGGTCCGATCCATAATTCGCTGCTTCTGATTGGCGGCTTTGGGCTATAACAACCCTATTCCATACATACGAAATTGTTTTAATGTTTTCACTAATGAATTAATTTTCTTATTACTGATATTTTGCCAGCATTATATACTACCAGTGTCCCATCAAAATAATCATTTTTAAGAAGACAAAAAAACACTAACTGGTGCAAAAGCTGGATTATAATTTTGACGTTATGACAAAGTTTCTAAAAATATTTTGGTTTGATCTTGTGGTATACGTGATTAATTGTCCAACTTTAGATGTAAATGTTGCACGGTAGTTTCCCCTGTGTTAAACAGTCTTTATGACTTGTTGATGAATGATTTTCCTGTTTTCTGTGTAAATAGAACTATTTGTTAGTTTATGGGTGTTTATTTGTTCAGATCTAATTTTCTCACAGGACATGGATTTGATTTTCAATTCTTTATCACTTGATACGCATGATAAGGACAAGTTTTGCTCATTATTCTTTTTATAACTTGCCGCAAAATGCCCTGATACTTCCGAGAGTGTGGAGAGTCTGCTTTCCCTCTTGAAATGCTCTCATATGGCCATGGGTTCATAGCCTCTACCAAAAAATTATACTCTTTGCCTTCATTCAGTGGCATGTTGTTTACGAAATTGAGAGAACGAAAAGCCTACTTTCAGTGCTTAGAATGGTTTGGTGGGTACGAGAACCCCACCTAGGAAAATTATACATCTTTGATTCCAAAATAATGATATGCATAGACTCTAGGATTTCGACAGGATAAGTGGGATATGAAACTATTTATGGTCGTCAGCTGCCATGGGACACCGTTTATTAACGTTCATGCACCACTTAGTGGATTAGAAATTTAGGTCAAAGGCTGGCTAGTTGCCACCTAAGCAAACTATCTTTGGTTTGAACGCCCGGTTCGTATCCCAATTTACATGTGGTGCATATTACTTTTGATGCTTAGTCATCTCAGTTTATGAAAAAGAAAGGAAACGCTCTTGTGATAACCAAAAAGAGTTTGACTGATACAGTGTCCAAAGTACTAACACTAATAATCACCTGGTGCACAACTAGGACTCTTAAACAACAAACCTTAAAAAATTAGGACGGCTTCAGATGCAAAAGTGCATGTACTGTCGAAATATTCACCCTTTGTCGGTTTTCGGGACTCAGACATACATACTGACGTCCAACCATAATAGTATTTCTCAACCTTGAGGCAACATTCGTCTTAGTTTTTCAACATGTTGTATGGCAGTAGCTGTGTACCAAAACACTATTCGAAAATTGTGAAGCTCCTTTAATCTAACACTATTGGTCAAATCAGAACTTATGGTGAACTGTCATCTAAATTATCATTTTCAAGTTGTGTTTGTCAAGATTGCCCACTTTCTGTCTTTTTATTTAATTTCGTTATCTTCCTAAAAACCACTCTTCTTCCACCTACCTTTGCATGGGTTGAACTCATTCCAGAAGTTTTACTTACTGACTTAGAATGATCTGGTGACGTTGTTCGGTTTTGGTGAAAAAGCTAACAGAATGTAGAATCTTCTGATTGCTTTGAACAATAATGCAAGCATGCTTGGGTCGCGCCCCCGTTCAAATGTAAATGTTGCTTCTGGACTGGTCCGTTTCAGTGTTTGGACAAATAATAGGGAGTGAGTCAGTTGAATGCACTGAATTTTTCACTCATTATGGAAGTCCCATCAGCCCTGGAAGGTTTGTGTCTGACTAAAAATTAGTTGACTTTTGTCAGCTCAGAAATAATGACGCAGATACATTCATTCATTATCTCCCCTTAGGCCTTGGGTTCTAAAATTAACTTACACTTTTTGTTCTACATACCTTTTCTTTCTTATTGAATCTTTGTTTACTGTTCTCAAGTTTTTTTACTACCATTGATATTGTTACATCTCCTACTACTCTGGGATTTGTATTGACGATTTCATCTTATTATGCTCATATGGCGTAGCAAATTTAACTAATCCACAAACGTTCCAGGTTCTATGTTGCTTATGACGGACCCACCTAAACTGTAATTTAGTATTCATATGAATGTGAGTGAAAGCTTAGTATTCAACAGACATGAATGGTTTTGATTTTCGCATAATATTGTACCAATCAGCAAATGTTTTAGTTGAATTAATTAGTACTTAATATAAATCTGCCTATTAATTTAATCATATAAAAACAATTTGACCAATTCATTGTATCTTAAACCAGTTTTGCTCGATTCGAATAAATTTTTACAGAAATTAAACTGTTTCACCTTGATAAGTAGCTTCTAATTCGTTCTGTACATGAAAAGACCCTTTTTCATCATCTCTAAGACCATAATTCCGGCATTTTTATCTATATGTAATAGCATACTGTATACTTTTATAAGTTAGTTTTCTTACTTCCCCTTCCAAAGACTTATTATCTTTGTAATATTCCTGTGTTTATTAGTAGATTTCGTTTGTGTAATTACAAATTAAGACAGGTAACATTCGTTGGTTTTTCATTTAGAGTTCGCACTCCAACTATTTGTAAAACTGTTTCAATACATATTCTGTCATTTCGAAAATATTGTAAAGTCATTCTCTTTTTGTAGATACTTTTAGTCATTTTTTGCTCACTCGATTGTCGTCCATAAAATCATTAGTTAAAAGTCACTACCACCTCCCTTGAATTGATAAGTCGAGTTGTCCCATCGGCAACTTACAACTCACATTATTGTGTCGAACTACTGAAGTGCATTGATTGATTGGGTTAGCGATAAACATACCATATAAATGCGTGTATGTGAGTGAGTTTATATCATGCAGAATACTGATAATTAGTATGCAAAATGAGTTTTTGTGTGTACTATGCTATTTTTAAGACATTCTGTTTGTTTTATGCTACAACG